AATTAGCACCAGCAGGAATATGCCAAGTAGCATTACCGTGTTCCCCAGTCAGAAGGCCTCGAGGCCAAATCTTGCTCATTAGTTTAAAATAATCCTCTTTTAAGAGAGTTGTCTACTTGAGTTACTAAAGTGAGCAGGATTTGGCACTCAGTTATCCTAACCTAGACTGCTCGTATTCCATTAGCACATTAATAGTTATGAATATATTACAGCATCTTTTGAGATGTTTCCAGAAAGTGTGGTTTTAAGAATGTTTAATACACTTACTATGTGTGAAAAAGTAAACAAAATGTAAAAAATAGGCTTGTTTTCAAGCTTTTTTTTTTTTTTTAACTTAAGGAATTAGTACTACTTTATCACAGAAAACAGAACACTGGCAATGTTCTTTGAAATAAATTAGTAAAACTCAAAGCACGTAAGTGAGGAATTATCCCTCTATATGGTGTGATAAGGCTTTTTTTTTTTTTTTTTTAATCTCCCTCATTTGTTGCATATCAAACAAAATCCTGGTTATGTCTGAGGAATTAAAGTAATTCACTCATTTTATCTGCAATGATCTTTCTATGCCTTAAACAGAAATGGGAAAACTAATAAAACCAAAACATTACCTGTATGTGTCAAGGAAGTTTTGTAGCTCTGCACTGTAATCTACAGGTCTCGGTCAAATACGTTATAACCTGACCCACAACATTTCTGTTCTCTTCCTAACCTAAGCAAAGCTCTTCTAAACACTGCATGGCTTTTAAACCCATGCAATCCAAAAAGCGATCTGGAAACCCCTGTTATTAGGAAAACACTGACAAGGGAAGAGCTAACTTCATTACACGTGCATGAACAGAACTGCGTTGATCTTGAATTCCGTTCTGAACTTAACTAACCTGTTTCCTCAGGATTACAGCCATCCAGTTTCCAGAGCGCGAATAACGAAGGTGATGTTTAAAAAACAGTTTGAATGTAAATTTAAGCATTAATATAAGTTATGCACTGAATTCATAAGACACTGCCTCGTCTTTAAGGAGCACAGATTTGCTCTAAAGAAAAAAAACCCCTTGAATTAGTTACAAATGTTAAAATACCACTGTTATTCTGAAACATTTAAGAATGAGACGTTACTGTAGATTATTTCCTGAAGACCTACACTGGATAGAGACAAAGAGCTAGTATTACAGTCCTTAAAGGCAATAAAACCACCTTGCGAGTACGCTACCAACAACACATATGCAAACAAAAATCTCACAGTACTACTGAAGGAATATTTAATGATTAGAAGCCAAAACTGAACTTTTGTTTTTAATATATGAGTAAACAGGCGGAGAGTGAACAGGACTGCGTTACTTTTATTCTTTTCACATCGTAACTCTCAAATTACAAAGGAGGTAATCTCTGAGGTGTCGGTAGAATCACATAGGTGCATGCTGGCAAAACACACTACCGAAAGAAGGTAAAGTTCTTCAAAAGGTAGGCTCAAGATCTGAACACCCTGTGAAAGCCTGGATCAAACTTTCAGTAAGACAAAAATAAATATCAGTGTTACTTCTCTTTGAATTGTTAAATTTAATGAGGCTTTAATAAAAGGAATGGAAAAAAACTTTATACTTGAGCCTCTGCCAGCTTCAGTAAAAAAGACTGAAGATGTACGTTCATTCCAGCTTGCTAAATATTCAAAATGTATTGTAGAAAAAGCTCCCTTCTTGTTCAAACTGCAGTTAGCTTAGGTAAAACTAGAAAGGTGGAAGTGGTTAAATTTAATAGCCATGCCAACTTGGGACAGCTTGATATAAAATTAATTTCTTTGTTCAGAAATAATATGTATTTTTCTGACTAAAAACCTAGTATGATTCTTAGGCAGATACTGATACAATAAAATTGTGCGTAGTGCTTAAAAAGCTCAAGCTGGAGGGACGAGAGGAAGAAACGCAAATATAAGGGCTATGGGGATGGGAAGCAAGAAACCTGATGCTGTTTTCCTGGATTCTCTTAATACACTGGATTGAAGGGATCACTTGCATGACCAATAAAACTGCCGTTTCTCTGGTAAGTAATATGAGCCAGGAAGCCTCATGGAACAAGACCCAGGACCAGCAAAATTGGCATTATATGAAAAATTAAAAGGCACTCACATGGCTGATTGAGCTGAAAGCAATTACACATTCAAAATGAGCTTTATGTTTTACTTTAGAAGAAGAAATATCACACAACTTTTCCTTAAGGAAGTGGTCCCACTTGAGAAGACATCAGTAGCCCTGAGAAAACCCAAATTTCCTCCACTATAGTACACGACACTGAATCGGTTCACTCTCAACTCACTTCAACCAGTTAGCTTTGAGGAAAGGAAATGGCAAGTGTGCAAAAATCAGGGAAAAGTCAGTCTACCTCAGTGAGTCAATATAAAAGACAAGCTTTTTCAACCTATTTAGAGGAGAATTTGGATTAAAAGACTTGAAAGCTAACCTTACAAGTATTTGTGATGCTTAGCATTTCTACTCATGGTAGAGTCATGCTTTGGAGATTCTAGTAACTGAATCTAGTTCTAGTAGCTGAGAGGGAATAATGAGACAAAACCCGAAGATGTAGCTTGAATACAGCACCCTCGGACTTTTCAGCAGGGCTTGAAAACTTCTCTGGTGGCTCTTGTAATAAGTAACGGTTGTGCTGATAAAAACTTACAGAAAAGCAGCCAATTCTTACAAAACGCAGGGGAAGAAAAAGAGGTAGGACATACTTTTTAATTCTCACAGTAGTTTCAATACAGTACGACTATTTAAGAATTACTTCAGAAATTTATTCCATAACTCTGTACAGTTTACCTTAAAAATGTCGTATCTTAGGTCACATCAGTTTCAAAGGGTTTAAATTAGCCATGATCATTAGGTAACCATCTCCTACATGTGCTTCTGGTTAAACGCACAAGTTGTTCCCAACAACCGCTTCAAGAACAGCTCTGTGCTTCAGTAACACAAACATGAGAAGTGAAGTAGCAATAAATATCGACTAAAGGAACTGCTTCTAATCAAGTGATGGTACACGTATCAAAGTATTTTACTTTGCAAAAAAACCATGCAGTCAATACGCAAAGTCTTCAGGAGGCTGTCAAAACATTCAGAAAATTAAATGTTCATGAACTTTTACAACCAAGCTTGCTTTCTATAGTGATCATAACTTGAAGAAACAGTAACAGCATTTATAAAGACATTCTATAGTAGCCATATTCATCTATTTTCTGAAGTTCTCTGATTAGCATTAGATCAGCTGAACTGTGGGTGTAATTCTTTTTTTTCTTTTTAATTTTATGTCTAGACTGAAACACTATCAAAGCAAGAAGAATGGAAATGTAATGCGAGTACCAGAAAAACTAACAACAGGCCAAACCGTATTTGAGATTGGCACTGCGCTTCATGAAGCGATTACAGTAAGCTAGCGCGCTCTTGAAGGACTACAAGTTTTTTCCTTTTTTAAATGACATTAATATGGAGCTTTGAATTTAAAGAAAAGACAAATGGCTGACAATAGCACACAGAACTTTCTTACACACGAGGCGAAGAGGTGATGTGGCTGTAAATACAACGTAGCCATGCTGTGGAATACTCCAGCAATCAGTTTAAGAAACACGTTAAAACCCAACACGGATGTGTTCTTGTCCGGTTGCTCCTCATGCACTTAAGAGGAAACATTTAACATTAAAATCATATAATAAAAGTAGGTATTTCTCCAGTCCACAAAGAATTATATAGTTAATGACTGTATAGAGATCTTAAAGTAGTAAGAGCATAGGTCCTGGCTTCAAGACTAGACTTATTACAATAATCACAATTGTAAATTTTAAAAGCATACAGGAAAAAAAAAAAAAAAAAAAAACAGTTCCAGGGTATGGATTTTACCCCAAGGCCACAGTTTTGACGAACAGTTCCATAATGCAAGGGCACTAAAGATTGGTCCTTTTGGTGCTGCAATACAAACTCTGATGCTGTCCTCAACCTTCAAAAATAAGCTTCCAAACACGAGCTAAAGCTCTTTCATTCTCAATCTCACATTAGATACTGATCAACCCATAAAACAGAAGAGAAATCACATTTTCAAATTAGTAGGATGAGGGAGTTTTTTAAACCTCCACTGAAATAACGAGTCAAACTATCAGAATTACAAGCTCTCATTTTTAGTCTATTTTATGAGGATATCTTCAACTCTCACAGGCTTTGTGGTGCCTTTCCAAGTAATGATGTCAGAATTTCACTCATAAAAGAGACCAAAACCAGAAGAAAGCCAAGAAATTTTGGAAGCCATACCCATTCCAGAGAACTCCTTGTGCTTTGATTCCTTACCCTAATCCAAACAAAGACAGAAGGGATCTTCTAAAAATACAAGTTGTATCTTCAAAAAAGCGAGGAGGGTAATTGCCTATCTTCACAAAACCATCAAAACATCAACTACTTACTCCTTTGCTTTGGCTGATCTTTTTCCTTTTATTTTTCCCCCACTGAAAAGCAAAGCATTAGTATTTTTTTCCATCAAAATAGAATGATTATTAAAACATCAAATGCTGTTAACACCTTGCTATTCTTACTGTGAAAAACAATTGCATGCAGTTTCCCCATCTTGTTGACAGTACTTTACTGCAGTTTTTCAAGTTGTTTATTCTGTAAGTACACAAGGGAAATTCTGCTCTTAATACAGTATAACTAATGAAAATAATTGGTCATTCATCAATTATATTCAGAACAGATGGGCTTAAAGCCTTAGGAGTAAGCTCACAACATATAAGTGCTGGACACTTAAGTGACTGGCCTTCCTTCTTCTGGAAGCTTGTTTTCAGAGGATGTATTGCATATTAAAAGTTCAGTACTGGCTACATGTACCAAAGAACATAAATGAGATCCCTAATATTTCACTTTTCAATGCCCAACAGAGTAAAAACTCCTTCCTTTCAATGGCAATATTCAGTAGCTTATCACTTCTTAAATTTAAAAAACTACAGCAAATTTGCTGTTTTCATCTCCCCTCCCCAGATTTAGTTTCCATTGCCATAAACAAGTGCCATCCAGGTGGAAAATAGTTCAGTGTAGTGACATCTGGTATCTCAACTGAAATTTGGCAACCCAAGAAGAGCACCAACAGCTCCAAAGTATCCCTGTTCAAAACAAACAAATAAATAAACATTTCAGCTTCAACTAGGATATTAAATTCAGCATTTATCACACACTTCAATGACAACAAAGCATCCAGAGGGTCAACAACAGATATAAAGAACATACACTTTTAAAGCATCATCTTTCATATTCACTTTTTTAAGCTTTACAAAACAAACCTTTTATCCTTATTAGCTAGCTTAACTCTAGGAGATTTCCCCCCCCAAGCCTGCACACACACTTTAGTCTTTCCAAGACACATATCAGTGACTGCTAAGCACATAAGTCTTTCCCCCTCCCTTAGACAAGCTGCATATTTTGATTGCCAAAGGATATTCAACGAGCGTAGCAAATCCATCCATTCTGAGGTGCAAGTCTAAGATTTCTTAAACAAACTGCACCTTATGTTTTTTAAGAAAGCCTCTCCAGGCTTCAGTGCCATTTTCTGAACTGCTCGCTTAGGCTGCATAGCGAGATTCATGTTCTTCTGCTGGATTACTTTTCCCTGTGCGGAAGCAATATTTTCTCCCACCCCACAATTATGTAACATAGAATTGTTTCACAGCACTCTTTGGGATCTACACTCAACCAAATGCAAGAATTTAAAACGCATCCAAGAAAAATCTGAAGGGGTAGAACTAATAAGGAACCATGGCGCTATTACTAGCGCCAAGACAGAGTAGTGTCAGTGTCAGTATAGGCAATAAAGGAAAAAACGTCGTTAGAATTGACTAAAGGGAAGGAGACCTAATACTGTAGTAACTGCAGACTGACAGTTTGAGGACATCAAATATTTCCAATCCCTTGCCAAGAAGCTACAAGTCTCCTAGCTGTTTGGCCAGTCATTAATACCGATTGCGTTTTAACCAGAACAGGCCATCTCTCAGCACTACATACTAATCCAGTTTGCACAAGCTGTCCAAGAGTATAAAGTTACTTTACAAAAAGCGTAAGATATATCTGTGGAAGTATGAAAGCAGTCTTGGTCAAAGGCAGTGTCGACTTTCAGGATGTTGCTCGAGCTCTACTGAGAACGATATACATATTTCAAAGGCTCATGCTGTCGGCCCCACTCTAATCTTTTGAAATGCAATACTTACCATTGTTTCTACCTACAGACAAGGAGAAATAGGTTAATCGTAGTACAAAGCTTAACATTTCTCGTCCCTTTGCAAAAAGGTATGGCATGAACAGATACTCCAAACTGACTAAAATCCTTTCCTGTCTGAGAGAGCTGTTCCCAGAGAGCCGATACAGCATGAGAAACTTGTCTTATTTTCAACTTCACTGAGTACTCAGTATCTCCAGCTATCGCACTTGAGAGACATTCACTATGTGCATTTTTAATTAACGGTAAAACAATACATAAACATAAACGAACCATAGCATACCTCATGTTCTAGGAACAAGGCCTTCAGTTGGCCTTTTGACCAGTAATCCAGTGCATATGCAAGAAGCTTCATTGACAAAGTATTCACACGTAAAAAATTGCCAACAAAGACAACTCTGTTTATTTTCTAAAAGGAACAAAAACATAGCAAAGGAATTAAGTCTTCTCACTATTTAACATAGCTGTGAAAAATTAAGTTATGAAAAAAGACTGTCGAGAAAAAAAAAAAAAAATCACCCAAGTAGAACATGGTTCCAATATTTAAACATAGCATACCTGTGAAGAGGAACAGTCCCCTCAAATTAAAGCTTTTATTATACAGACAAGTAGCATTTGTTTTTCAAATTAACTGAGTGAGCATTTGCAGTAACTAAGCCAAAGCTTAGCTAAAAGTAAAATTAAAGTCACAGTACTTATATATGGTAGAGAAGACTCAATGCCTTCATAGCCCTGTACAATGCTGCTTGATCCATATGCAACAAGGCAGCACTGTAAAGAAGCCGAAGACAGTAAGACATAACAGACGTCCATCTCATCTTCAGATCTCAATATACCTAAGTATAAAACTAGACTAAGACTTAAGTACGTACTAAGAGCTAGCTATGAATTTCATTAAGTTTAAATGATTTTCATTTTTTCATTTATTTTCCCCATTCACAGAAATCAAACTGACATTAAATGGAAGCATCATTAAACACTGACTTAATGGTATGAGATCAAGAATCAAAGAAAATTTATCTGTGTTAGGGCTTAACGTGGCACTTAACTAAGCACTTACAAATGATAAATGAATAGTCCTATCCAAGTTGTTAGTAAGACCAGTATGAGAACTTGACACGCAATCAAAGGACTTTTGCATGTATTTGCTTTTCACTACCTTGATTAGTTCAAAGTTAAGACAAAATATACACACTGTTAAGGCACCCACACATAATTCTGCTCCATACTGGGAAGTGGAAAAAGTGAAACCCATTTTGCCTTTATACATCAGTTCAAGATATTAGTTTGTCTATCTGTATTAACTGTATCTTATGATTTGTAGCTCTGTGATACAGCTGCAGTGCATCAAGAAAAACCTTGCCTAGACCTGATTTGTATGTTCCTGCATACAATCTGGGATTGTATGATTTGGGATCTATATTAATATACCCCAGCCCTTATATGCAAATTGTATACATTTGACTTTGCAATAATGACAACATTCCTACAACATACTTGACTCTTACATTGCTGGTATGTACAGCTTCACTCTCGTTTTAAAACTTTTTGCTTCCAAGCCTTGCCCCCCCAAAGTCCTCTTTTTAAAAAAAAAAAAAAAAAAAAGCACTCGCTACCACAAAAATGAACCTTCTACTCCAAGAAAGGCATATGAAAGAAAAACTGAGGGAGAACTTGCAATGGTATTAAAAACAGAATAATGAGTCCAGCTCTTCAGCAAAAAAAAGGGTTAGAGCAACTAACAAGGTTGCTGAGATTTCTAAGAGTATCACTGCCATAGACATCTCTAGTAGAGAGCTCTTAATACAGTAGCCTTTAGCTTAGAAAGCTGTTACTAAATCTCACTTCATCCAAAGTTTGCTGATGATTAGCGGTGCTCAGGCACCACAGATATATTCTACGCTAATTTAAGTGTACTGAATTTATACCGTTATTCCAAAGGTTCTTGGCTGTCATACTAATTATATTGAAATTGGATGCATATTGGTCTGGTTTAGCAAAGCTTTGAGAAATAGAAGATGGCAGAAAATTTTCTCTGCACCTCCCAGTAAGAACACAGGTGTCAAACCAAGTTGGTTTTAATATTTTTTTTAACTCTTGAAACTTCAACATTGATCTGGAAGCAAGGCTTTAGCCGTAGAATACATTCAGCTAGAAGAGACTGGTCTAACTTCAAAGTTCAGGTTGCTCAGGGCCCTGTTCAAGCACGTTTTGAAGGTCTACAAGGACACAGCCTCCACAATCTCTCTGAGACCACGTTTGGAGCTTAACCACTTCTCATTTTAAGCACCCTTCTTCCTTATACCTAGTCAGAATTCCCTGTGCTGCAAGCTATGTTCGTTGCCTCCTGTTCTTCGGCTGTGCATCGCTGACTTATGAGTCTGGCTCCGTCCTTCCTGTAATCCCGAACAGGTTGTTGAAGAAAACCGCCACAGCCTGGGCTTAACCCAGACCCCTCAGTGTCTGCTTGTCAGGGACTCCACGCCCCTTTCTTGGTAGCGCTCTGCTTCAATATACTTGCTCCACCTTGTCAATCCTTCTCCCTTGTGGGGTGGTGGCGAGAAGTAGGGGGATTTACAAAGCATCACCTCCCCTGACCTGCTCTTGTTAATAGACCTCAGAATGAGGTCAGCCTTCACTGCTGCAAGGGTGCACGGCTGACTCACGTTCAGTTCAACTTGTTGTCTGCCAGCAGCCTCCTCTTTTCTGCAAAGCTACTCCCTAGCCGCTCTGTACCCCCCCACCTTGTACTTGTGCTTTGATGATGTTACCCTGGATGATCCATTAGCTATTCTGGGCACCGTTTCCATTCAGGGAAGCCTCCCACAGGATCCCGTTTCCTAAATCCCTGAAAAAACTGACTCCTGTTCTACTTGAGTCCAAATAGACTCTTCGCTCTGATATCTGCCTTCACTTTCCTCAGCATCTTAAACTCTATGATAATCTCAAGGCTGCCACTGACACCCCTGATCAGTTCTTCCTCACTCCTAAACAACAGGTCCAGCACAGCATTTCCCCTAGTCAGCCTGCCAAGCACTTGTGTTAAAAAGTTGTCCCCGACACACTCCAGAAGTTTGGATTGCTTGTGTCCTGCCATGCTACCCTTCCAGGAGAGGCTAGAGTAATTCCTCATGAGAGCTAAGGCCTGCAACCATGATGCTTCTTCCAGCATCAGAGGATTTTGTCTTTGTTCCTCAAAGAGTGTTCATAGCTTAAAGAAGCCAAAGCCCTACTGGTGACACCAGCCACGTGGCCAGGTGCTCATTCACGGGACGCATTTACTCCTCTCCCAGCCTTCTCCCTAGATGTCAAGGTTGAGGCGAACATCATCTGGGTGCCCAACCCCTTTAACTTATCTCTCAGAATCCTGCAGTCACCCTTGATCCTTTAAGATGTAAAAGCTTTTTACTTGCCACTAAATTTCAGTTCTCAAGTCAAATAAGCCCTCTCAAGAGACACTCAAAATATTCAGAGCCAGTTCCTAGTTCTATTAATACCACATGAGTTTGTTTCATTTGAGAAGGTACTAAAAGGTTTGAAATGATATATCATTTTAGTAGTCCTTTAACCTAAAACCACAAAATAGGCTTATGGATTGTTTGATTCCTCTCCAGAAGCGTTTACCTCATTTACTGCACACATCCGGGCAATAGACCCAATGTTATTGGTGATGGTGACCAATATGGCTCTTGCCAGGTCTTCTTTACTCACAGACTCTCTCTTCTCTTTGTAGATCATATTCCCAAAACTAGAACAGCAAAAATTTCCGTTAAATACAAAGTGAATCAGGGGGATCAGAGGATTTTGTAGGAATTTGAAGTAATTTCAGAGTGTAACTTTTATGCTAGAGTAGAACCTAAGTCTCATGCTTATTCTTAAGCAACTCCCTTTTCAAGTCCCTATTAAATACAGCAATTTGACACCTGACACTATAATGCACGTATCTCTTCTTTTACAGGAAAACATCAGTCTCCTTACACTGATGACTCCCAACAAATTCTTTTCATTTATATTGCTGATTTTCATGAAGAAGCTCCTAAAAAAAAAAAATTGCATTATTTTTAGGCAAGATTATGTTGTAAGCCTAGACACTGCAAATGAAGTCAATGCCTAAGTCTAATGGTGGATTCTAAAACTCCTCGTGCTTGCTTCCTCATTAAAACATCTATCCAACCACCTGAAAGTAGCAGAAGCAAAACAGAGATGAGTTGAACGGTTCTGTCCCATCATAAAACCTTTAAAAACAGAAAATACACAGCTGGCAAACTGCTAGGTCATTGACCAGTAACCTGAGACTCAGGTTGTACAAATCCAGACTTCTGGAGTAGAAAGACATTTTCATTACTATCCACAGTATGCCACTTCCTACAAATAAAAAGTTCAAGACAAGACTCCATAGCTCTGCATGATATTTTACCGCTAAGGACTACATGCCATACCCAAGTCAGTTCAAAGACCCAGAATCCTGAGTATTCCAAAACTCAAATAGCCATAAAAGTTTCTAAGGATCTTAAAAAGTAAACGATAACAGAAGTAACTATCCACAGAGTGAGTTAAGACGAATCAACTAAAAGTATAAAATTGTACACATTAAAATTTCTCTGCAGGTAATCTGTTTCTGAAGAAGATTGGACTCAGCTGGCTGGAAAGGGAGAAGAATCAAGTCACTGTGAATTAAAACCTCTTTACTACCAAGTAAGAGCAAAGGTTTGAAGAACTCTGTTAAGTGTACGTTAGTTTCACTCTGACAGTTTATTCTTCTTGTATTTCTTAAAGGTAGAAAAGCCATAACATCACCAGAAATCTTCCCCACGGGAAATAAAAACAGCAGCTATTACAAAAATCCTCTGTAATGGTAGTCAAGTATATTAATTCCCATGGTGCAAACTGTTTATGTTCAAGAGCCTTCACAAATGAGTAGTTAAAATATTATGCCAGATGCCTGTATTGACCTCCGAACATCAAAAAAGCAGTCATTCCAGAAACGAAGAGATGCTACTAAAAGAAGAACTAAAATGCCTTCTTCCTCTTTCACGTCACTCGCAGCTGGAGAAGAGCCCTACTGAAAGATTCTAGGAAGTCAACAAGTAATTGCCATTACTTTTCGTCCTACGCTTTGCCCTTGTCACTCCTGCGATCAGCTCATGTTCTTTCTGACTCACGTAAAAGAAAAATCCTCAGCTGTATATGACTTATCACATGAAATTTTTTCAACATCTAGCTTGCCGTCACATGCTACCATGTGGCTTTAAATCTTCAGGAAACTTAAGTATAGGTATTTCTAGGGCAAAAACATCACTTGACTACAACAGAACTTTGCAAAAAGAAGTCTTCTCTATATTAACATCTTAAGTCTTGCTTTTGAAACTTTAGCATCTTAGTTGTATTGGGGAGGGGAAAAAACAAGAGAGAGAGTGAGAGCGCGCACGTGCATGAGAGAACAACAAAAGGGCTCTTGCTTACCTGGATGCTACTGCCCATCCTGGCAAGCCAAATCTTTCATAGTCTCCTCCGTAAATATCTCGAACCAGCTTGTCAGCATGTGTGCTGTCTCCTCTAGATGCCATTTCCAGAGCTTCTTCAAAACTTTCACAGCCCGTCAACAAACTGCATAAACCAAGAAAGGTCCCTCCACCTAGACTAATAAGAACAAAAGAAATTTTGCTTTTAAATAGTATTTCCTCATGTTAGAGATTCTCACGCTACAACCAAAACAAATAAACCCCTCCAACTTAGCTACCCAGTTGTCTACTTTATTGCTCATTAAACAGCTGTTAATCAAGTTAACATTTATATAAGCGATTTGCACAAAGTTAACTTCTTGCAAAAGTAACAAATAGGTATAAGCTATCAAATTGTCAGCTGGAAGATGTAATCAGACTTAAAATGCCCTGAAATACCCACATCTTACCACTCTCTCTGATCCTTGATTATTTTCTTTAAAATACATGTGGACATACTTAATTCATGCAGGGGAAAAGAAACATAGGTATACCGGACATGTTATCAAAACTTACGACAAACCGCAAAAAACTCTCATTACAAAGTCCTTCTAGCACGCACCAACTGACAAAGAAAATACTAACTAAACCTCCTCAGTAACAGAGCTATGGAGATGGGCTTCAACTACGCACCTGTAAACTAAAGACGAAATAGTTTTCTGTACTGCAAGGAAAAGGGAGGGGATAGATGGGGGGACTCAGGATGAGGAAACACTTTGAAAACAGAAGGCTCATTCTTCCATACAGTAACAGCATCAACTTAGGTTTTTAAGTTATTACCTTGTTCCAGTTACTCTTTTATAGTTGTCTTTGGAATGGACTGATAAAATACTGACTCCTGAACCAATGTTAACTACCAGCAGTGGATACGGGTCATCCAGGTTAAAAGGCATCTTCTGGCATCTCTCAGGTTCCGAGGCGTTTTCAAAGTAATAGCACTCTGCCTGGCCATTGAAGCTGACAGAGTCAATATACAATAAGCCTTTGACAAGGCAGTCAAGCTCATCCAGTTTGTGCAGCTGGAGGTTTCCAATCTGTGTTTAAAAAAAAAAAAAAGTCAGCATACCCTAACATTACTTACACAAGCTACAAATTACTGAGTATATATGTACTGCCTAACTTTAGGCAGCTATCTCAGATGACTAATTCATAAACTTCAATCCAACTATAGAGCCAACAAAGCATTCAGAGGTAAATTCTGAGTGTCTAAATTAGCAAACTTCTTTGACTACTGATGTGAATCTTAGGTTCCTAGCAAGCAACAGATAGGCAGTACACACATCCGTTTCAGTAAGTTCAGCAAAGAAAACTTCTGAGATACTCGGACATGAATTAGCATCATTTTTCATCAATCTAAATCAAAAATGATTAGCAAATACTCTAAGCCTCATCTAACGTTAGGATGGTCAGACTGACACATCTGCACACCATTTCAATGTTTCACCACCGCTCCCATCTTAAAAATCCGTCATTTCTAAGATGTTAGAAATGAAAAACCTAAATAGCATCCTACTAGCTTTTACGGAACCCTTATTAGCACTCCAAGATCATAAGAATACCAGAAGTTATAAATTCTGTGTGTCTTTCGGTTTTGCATATGACTTTTAGGCTGTCATTCTCTCATAAAACAGCAAGACAATTTGAAAGTTTCTATGGATTCCAAGAGGGCCATAATTTCACCCTACACTTAATCCAGTTTAACTACGGACTTCCACAAAAAGAGTGATCACACTCCATCGTCACTCTTCTCCCTCACCTGCAGTAGGGTGTCCTAACAGTTAACATGGGGAGTCCAACCAATCAGCTGATCCGTAAACGCCGGAACATGACTCTGAACCAGATCAGTTCACCTTCAGAAAGCAGCCTGTTGTTAGGTCACGAAGCTGCATAATGAGGCTGGGTTGCACACTACTGAACCTGATGCCAATACCAGCTCACAACACTGCCAGTCTTCTCTTTCCCCAGCGTATTGTGGCTCTTTGTGCCATAGCACAACAGCTTGCGAAGCTTCACAGTTAAGTAGATCAGGGAACTTGTGAGTCACAGAATAGCTGGGGTTGGAAGGGACCTCTGGAGATAATCTGGCCCAACCACCGTAAAATATTTTTGTGGGGTTTTAGAAACTTAAGTAGCTCTGCTGTACAAATTGTGACCCTTCCCACAAACAGTCGTGCTGGGCCAACACAGGACTGGCACGAGAATGGAAATACAAGCAGATTTTGAAACAACGCATTTGGTATCATCAAAAGTCTTCTTGCCTTTAGAACCTCAAGAGGACTGTGGCCATTTTCAAACAAAGACATGGGCATACCATATACTGTGACACATTCCCAGCTAGTAATAACACTGCAGTAATAACGTCAGATAGAAACTCTACCTGAACAAATGATCAATTTTAATCATCAAGAGGAGTCGAAACACCTCAGAAAAATCCCAAAACCTCTTTGCTGTTGAAAAGACTGCCTTATAGATATTCACTCAGTCACAAATCTATAAACAACATACTGGGCTAATTTCATCAGAATAATCAGGCCCACACCTCTATATAAAATATCCTTCATAAAAGCAAGGCTGGAGAAAACTATCAAAGATTGCATAGGAAAGAAAATCCAAAGTGAAGTAAGCACCACAGCAGTTTAAGTACACTTCCCATCAGAGAAAAACACAGATGAGAAAATGGTTATCTTCCAGAAAGGTGTCCTGCATTTCACTGCATTAACAGAAGTTTTCCTTAGCTGTCAGCCTCAGATCAACATCTCAGCAGTCCCCTCCCAGCCCTTCTTCACGTCTATTATGACAACAGCAGGAAGCGTATTTCTAGATTAACATACTTAGTAGACTAAAAACCAAGTGAATAGTTAATAATCTCCAAGCATTCCACAGTTCCTCAAAACACTGGTTGTAGCAATGCTTTTTAGCGCAACTTCAATATGAGGAAAGATAGGCTACCTACTGTGCGAAAGTCTTCTTCAAACTTATAAGCGCCACCTCCGGTGGCGCAAAGCACCGTATGTAGTGTTGAAAAGTTTTTATTTCTTCCCATTTGGATAAAAGTGGGCAAATCATGAGTTGGAAATCGAATAAAGTGCAAGTTTCCTCTTCGACCAAAAATCGTTAAGTCTTTCAGTTCAAGGTGGACATCTCGAATGCCAGTGGATCCATAGGCTACATTAGAAGTCAGATATTTGCGGATACTCTTCAAGCTTTCAACTTCTTCCTGCTCCTCCTCTGCAGTGATATCAATAGGTTCAAAATATGCAAGTTTCACCAAAGTTCCCCCAATGTCCATGCCAAACCATGGAAAAGCTGTGGAGATACAATCATCGATCCATTAGCTTTGTAAAAAAAAAAAAAAAAAAAAAAAAGCCAAAGCAATACATTCAATTTAAGACTAAACCAACACTATGCTTTTCAACAAGGAAGATATTAAGAAAAATCCCTGTACAGAAAACTAGCCAAAAAAAGTTTGAAGCAGACAGGAACAAAAACGTAGTCCTCATTTCCATTAAATGACCTTATATACCTAGCTGGTGAAAGGTAAAATGGAACAATGAGCAACTCTCCTTTTTATATACACAATGCTGTGTGACATGAGCTCAGAACATCCAACTCAACACTCCAAAAACAGTACTCAATTTAATCACACTTTTTTTAAAAGGATAAAGTTTTAAAATAACCTTCATTCCTAAAACTGAATTTTAGGCATGTTTTAGCACAAAAACTGCAATGCACATTTGTGAGAAAACAGATTATTCCTTATAGGTGACAGCAGTGACAGGACAGCTATTCATCCTCCAATAGTTATTTTCTCCTGACCACATAACACATTAAACATGTATTTGGGAAGGAAACACTAATTTCTTTGCAAGTTTTTTAAAAATGGACACAGTTAAGATGATCAATTTCTGAAAGTGAACTGCTCATATAACCCTTCGAATTACAAAGGGCTAGCGACAAATATTAAGTACGTGAAAGACAGAAAATTAACAACAAAATATCTAGGTACTACTTTCCTTTTTCTTATCTTGGATAAGAAGGAAGAATTTCTGTACCATAAAAAACCAATAACACCAAAATACCAGTATTTTGACTTTATTTTCTGTTTCCTGCCATGACTGCAAAAAGATTCTCTTAACAGGGATTCTATCCTTTATGCTATCTTGAACTGTCATTTGACTATGCCTGTATCAATAAACCTTTGTAACTGTGAGGTGAAAGAGCATCTCAGCAACTCTACAGCAAACAAAATACCTTTATCTTAGTGTTTCCTCCCACGTGACAGCTCCCAGAAACAGTTTCAGAAACTTAATTTGTAACTTTAAGAACAATCCTGAACATCCAGCTAGGAATACTGTATTTTCTTTTCCTAATCGACACAATCTAGTGTTTTCAAAAAAATTCTGTAGAGTTCTTGTATTTCTTCAGATGCAATTAATATATTATAGAAGCACGAAACTCATGAACAAAAACAACAAAAAAGTGAGCATGTTCATCAAGAACAAGATTTAGTTTAACTCATGTTGGATTTACATTACCAGTAGGGATTTATCATTGGGAAGAAAGGCCTACCAAAATATTTTAACATATGTAGTCAAGGCTGGCTGCAAGCCATATCATTTATAACATGAGTGCAAAAGTTAAAAGAAAAAAAACTTAAAAGTTGCCTCAACTTTCAGGAATGGATATTCAGAGAATATTGCCAGACACGAACAAAACCCGACCAAGTCAGTAACTTCACTGATTTCATAAAACAGATGTATTTAAAAACAAGAATGATTTGAGTAAGATTTAACTCCAAGGGGGAATAAAGATATTCTAAACCCAGCAAAAATGAGAAGACGAGAGATAAAGGCACATTTCAGGAGTTCTTTATTTGATCCTTTAACAGATGGGTTTTAATTCTGTTTTTAAGCCTCAGTACTACCTGAGGGAATTTTAGTACTAAGCTATTTCTGCAGCGTTAACATGTCAGAAGAGATAGCAAGGACAGCTGTTGCCATGGTGTGAACCTAAGAACATGAGTGCTACTAAAATTTAGATTAATAATATTCTAGATTAAACAAAACAAAAAGGGACTTATTTAGTAAAAATGTAAATGACTTCATAATTGAGGCCCTCCTTCCTCCATGAACCATTCAGCTCAGTTACAAGATAACAGCTGAGATTAAGCATATAACTAAGCAGAATGTAAAAAAGGTATTCCCTTAAAAACTTGATGCTTGACTTGTTTGCACTGAGACTCTGGACATAAAAAAAATTGTTTTCTCGTTCGATCACAATTAATTGATGATTTATTAAGCAATTTCACTAAGTTTCAGTTGTAAATAACGTCACAAGGTCACAAACGCAGATGGGACGTTTTATTCACCCAGCAGACCAGAAAGGGGTTTGCAGGAGTCAATCTAATTCATTCAGTATTTATCTAGGACTCGGTTAGCTAAGTATTACCTAAAGTACTCAGGATCGTTCCCAGTCAGTGGGCCTACTGGATAACTAAAACATAGTCTTCCACAATACGAAGAAAGAAGGGAAAGTACATGCTACAAGTCTAGGGAACATGTGGTCCAACTCATGTATGTTTACAAGAAGATCCACAGCATCCCACCTGAAATGAGCCAAAGGCTTTCCCAAATATATCATTAGTCTGAGTTCTAAAGATCTTACGGCTTGTGAATCTTGCGCACCAAATAAAAAAAGATCAGGGAGAATACTTAACGATCAGGAAGTTTATTCCATAAATAGAACGATCCCATTTTTCAGCATAAAATATGTTCCTATGCCATTCAAAATCAGTTTTCTGGGTTAACTGGGTGGTCTTAACAACAATTTAATAATTTTGAGACTGAAGAAAAGGGTCAGTTTTCACTTCTGCTACAAAACCAAAGCAGCTGTACATTCTTCTATTAAAAATTTGTCAAGATTTGCTTCGTTCAAGTTCTGTTTGCCAGGTGAGGAGGCAGTTCTGACAGGCAACGAAGCCCAGGGGCCATTACCTTAGTATTCACAGCATTCATACCAGCAACCTGGATGCAGACATTGCAGCTCACATTCTTGCATACGTAAGCCATAGTCATTGGATTTAAATATAGGTCTGTCCAGGAAAATTAATGCGCTTTCTCTTTCCAGCCTTAAAAGGGGCTATATGTATATATATATTTTATATATATATATGTACACACACACACACACATATATATATATATGAATATAAAATGAGCTGAACACCATCTGCAATTTTGGGACTGTGAGGTCATATGATTATCCATATTTGAGCTACCTTTTTTCAAATATTAGAAATCCATTGATCCTACAGAGAGTTAGAACATAGCTGTGTGTATGTATGGACACAATTTGACAGGCTTGCTCCACATCCCCCTCCCCCCGCCCCCCCCCCAAACCTTTTCCTGTAGCCTTCAAATCAGTAAAGTTTGCTTTGGGTAAAGTACAGCTGAGAATCTTTCCTATATGGATGTGGGGGATGGAGAAAAAGAAACCCATGTAAATATACCAGTTCCTCTTCCAAATACTGAAAAATGTGGTTTCATTTGCAGGGTTAAAATCAGGCCACAGAGAGACTCAGTATGAAGGACTAGCCAGAAAACTACAGACATCACGCTCAAGTTTCCTACAGCACTTCCGCTCCACAAAACCGTCAAGCTAGTTGTGGCAATGACTACAGAAGATGACACATCTACTTTTATATCATCCCACACAAGGAATCTGTGTATTACTTTACACTACATACATTGACCACTCTGCCTAAGATGCTGTTGCTACTATTTGGGACATGTTCAAAGCACAACATCTTTCACTCTTACATATGGATAGCTGCAGCACAATTGCTGGTACAGTCTCATCAATTCCATGAAACACTCTATTCTGAGATAGATAGTTTTGTCTTTGAAAGCTGCCTCTGAACCAAAATAGCACAGAGCACATCTTGGGCTGAGGATACATAAATGATTTTATAAAAAGTATTTTCATATTAATATCTGTAGGTCATGCTTTCTTCTGAGCGAAAGATCTAGAAGCAGAATGACAGCAGCGCAATCTTAGGAAACAAACAGCAACAACAACAAAATAGACATTAGGTTGATCCTCACTGCTGTGCTAGTTAAAGAAATGTGTCTGTCTCAAGCTTACAGCTCTGCAGATACCAGGTTTTTAGGACTCCCGTAACTGTATCCATCATTCTGCAGCTTCAATTCTTAAGGAGTACCAATGCACCTACAGTAAAACTGGGCTTTTTCTGCAGCTCTATGGGTATTTGATCACGGAAAGAGTTTTCTCAGCTCTTCCTCTTCAGAATTGTTCTACTTTCTTGGAAGACTCTAAAAAAGTGAGGTAGAGCTCAGAAATTTTCCTTGTGGAGAACTAAATCATTATTCACAGAATAAATCCATTGCCTTGTCTTTTCAAAGTTTTTATCTTTGTGGAGGTCAATTGCATTTTGAATACTGAACAGAAAAGTAGAAGCTGAACTTTTTACTGAACAAGCTTAACTGCATAAAACTGCTTCAGAAAAATGTTTTCTATTTCTAGGAAGTCAAACCAAGCTCTATTTAAGGGACGTACATATTTTTAACCATCGGAGAAAGACAAAATATCCACAGCAGAACACAAACTTGGACAGGCAAAAAACATACTGCTTAGTGTGCTACTTCACACCAAATTAAACCGTCTTCAACAGGACAGCAAAAGGAGCATCACAATACCCAGCCTTCTCAATTCCAAATCCAGATTTTATTTCACTCCCCGGCTCTGCCAGGAACCACTGTGGGGCCTATATTGCAACAGCAACCAGGAACCTTTGCTATAAAGCAACTACTTGTTCTGTATGTGTTATAAAGCTGGCTTTCAGAGGCAAGCTGCTCATAATTAAGAAACTAAGAGTATTTCCTAGAACTGCCTCCTGCAATTTAGAGAAGCACATCCCATGCAGGAAGAGTGCTATCACAAATACGCTGTGTTCAAGTAACAATGTAACAGTTCTACTGAATAAGAAAATCCAATTTGATGGGGTTTTATTATTATTATTATTTAGAGCTATGCAGATAATCCTCATTCTGTTGTGTTTGCACTTCTCAAGTTTTTGGTGTATAAGTTTTTTGGTGTATATATTTTTTGGCAGCAATCCTAAGATTACTTATGTCTTATCATACCAGGTCTTCAAATGCTAACAGAAAATAATTATGATAAAAATCTTTCTCAGCCCGCTATAAGCATGAAGTCTGATACATTTTCCTTTCTTATGCATTCTGCTTCATCAGAGCAGAGGGCCTTCCAAGTTCTCTTCTCAAATCATG